TGGTAAGATGTTATAAAGTTAACTCGGGAATGCCTTGACTGAGTCCGAAGACTCGGTTTTTACGAATGGCCGTGCTTTGAAATGTTTGACCAATGAACTCCCAGCTGCCTGTATGCTGCGTGGATATGCAGCAGTCATAGGAGCGAGCGTGCCACTAAAGAATCTGCTTCTTATTATCCGGGCGAGCCGACTTTGTCGGTGTCAATTTATAATTGATGCACTTTTTTTCTTTCCCGTACAAAAATAGGAAGAATTTAAAAAAGAAAAACGCTTGCTCCCCCTATTGCCAAATGGGCGGTGACACGAGTCGGAACATTCCCGACGCGCACTGTGGCCCCGCGCGTTCCAATCGTCGCCAGCCCAAGACTCGCCGACACCCGGCGGACGTACGCGGGGCGCAGCGATGGAACCCTCGGCGACCGACGGACGAGTTCGACTCGCCGCCCGCGGCTGACTTTTAACGTCATCGTTTTGGTGAATTGGAACGGGGACGGGTCCTGTGGGATAAAACCGCCGCTCCCGATACACTGAGCGGGATGGCGAAGTATGGTCAAATAAACCCATCTATGATTGACACGTGGGAGGCTTTCGCGAACAATATCATCCATGATGCAGGTTTTTGTTGCGTTAGATCGCGTAAGTATATAAATGTGTCGTTAAACCCGCCACCACCCAACACAGCCAACTAGTAAGGGTTGTCACGTAAACAGAACATGCCAATTCGTCACTAGTACAGCACACCGGTGTGTTGGAGAGCTTGGCTGTACTAGTGATGAATTGGCATGTTCTGTTCTGGTGGTGGCGGGTTTTAACGACGCATTTATATATTTACGCGATTTAACCCAACAAAAAACCTCTATTATGGACCCATCTATGACCGACGCCGCGGCATAGCGTGGTGGGGTGAGGGGGGGAGGGGCTACGGTGGTGGAAGTGGGGGGGGGGCTTTAATCCAGCGGTGAAACAACCAGGGACCGTAAAAAGGAATGTTTATTACGAGTCCTCAATCTAATCGCACATTCTGAACGCGATCTCACCGCACATCTCGGATGACGTGCCGGAGGTCTCTTGCCTTGCAAACGACACCCACAGCTGCAATGGATCGCTATGCCACAGCTGGTTGACAATAAAGGATCTGTGACTGACGGGACATTTTTTTTGCGCATCGCTCACGCACGTGTCACGACACTTCTGCAAGTGCTCTTAACGAGCACCCCAACCCCCATCGAGTTTGTGGTGTGGTTGACACCGCGCCCTCAATCCGTCCACCTTTGTCTCCCCCCGATGTTGAGACACCGCAGAAGGGTATTCTGCGGTGACCTACTGGAGGTCCAAGATGCAGCTTCAGTTATCCGCCACTGATGGTGGCCGTGGCCGGGAATCGAACTCGTAGCGCAGTGCGCTAACCAGGACACCCACAAAGAAACAAAGATCCCACGTATAGCCTGAACAAACTATTGGGGCAAGTGCTGTTAGCGAGCACCTTTGAAGGCCGGCACGGCACACGATGGGGTGGGTGGCCAACACCACGCCCGACCGCCTTTGTCTCCCGAGTAGCGATATTTACGAATCGTATCCGGTACTCATTTGAGACTGAGTCGCCCTAGGGGAGGTCCAGGACCGGCTCAAATAATCGTCACCGGTGTTGGCCGTGAGTGGGAATCGAACTCGTGTCGCCGGATTCGTAGCGCAGCGCGCTAACCGCTACACTACCGCTCCCCACTATAAACACCCATGCAAGCACACACACACGCACACACACACGCAAATGTGTGTGTGTGTTTGTACGGTACTGTCCACCCGCCCCCTCGTGTGCCGTGTCGGCCTTCATAGGTGCTACTCGCTAACAGCACTTGCCCCAACAGTCTGCTGAGGCTGCCACGGGGGACCTTTGTCTTTGACATCGTGGATGTTCGCACATCGCGCCCGTGTGTAAACTCAGAGGCGGGCGCCGTAAATTCGATTCTGTCCTGCGACTCAAGTCCACACACGCAACCCAAAGCCATGCTGCAGTATAATTACTCGTGGGTAGCACAGGCAGCAGGAGACGTAGTACCACAGGGATAACTACCTGCAGCAATTGCAACAATGTGTGTGTGAGTTTGGTCTCTACGAGGTTCTAGCAGTGAATTGCCAATCGGGATATGCGTGCGTGAATGTGTGACGTGTGTATGTGCGTGTGTGAATGCGTGTGTGTGGGCATGTGCCCGTGTGTGAATGCGTGGCGTGTGTGCGTGTGTGTGAATGCGTGACATGTGTGTGAGTGAGTGCGTGTGTGTGTGAATGTGTGACATGTGTGTGTGAGTGTGTGCGTGTGTGAATGCGTGACATGTGAGTGTGTGCGTGTGTGTGAATGCGTGGCATGTGTGTATGAGTGTGTGTGTACGCGAGTACGTGCTTCTGTGCATGTGTGTACCAGTGTGTGTATATATAATGTGGGGAGTGGTGGCGCAGCGGTTAGCGCACTGCGCAAACGAACCCGGCCAACACCAGTGACGTTTATCTGATTCGGTCCTGGGCCTTCCCTAGATCGACTCAGCCTCAATTGAGAACCTGGTCCAGTGTGTAAACATCACTTCTGGGGAGACAAAGGCGGTCGGGCGTGGTGTTGGCCACCCACCCCCTCATATGTCATGCCGGCCTACATAGGTGCTCGCTAACAGCACGTGCCCAAACAGTATGTTAAGGTTATACGGGGGATCTTTGTCTTTGTGTGTATATGCTCAGCCACCGCATGCACAAGCAGCTTCTGTGTGGCCGGATAAGACGGGCTTAACCGGCGCGGCCAGCGCTGGCGAAGAGATGTAGCTGATGCGATACAGGAGGACGTGGAGCTGAGTGGACTTGCTGATGACCGGCACCAGCGGTGTCAAGATCGGCCTCTGCGGAGGAGGCTCGTGAAGGACGCTACTGGGCAGTTGGAGGCAGTCGCCCTACAATAATAGCGGAGGTCAGAGTAGCGACGCTCACAATAACGAGCGGAGCGCCCGGGCGGATAAAACGCAGCGAGTTGGCACAGTGGGAAGCATAGATGGTGCATCTGACAATCATTTCAGTCAAACCATAACACCTGGGTCTGTCCCGTGACCTCGTGCCAGCGAGTCTTCCACACCTCTCGTGGCCTCAAGGTGCACCTAGCCTGGCACAAGCGACGCGGTTACGTCACCGCGACTGAGTGACGTACGGCGGTTGCTGTGCTGTCTATGCGTGCCCACTCATAGACGTTTGTACGCGTGCCGAAAACGCGAGTGAGTGAGTGTGTGTACGCGTGGGTGCCTCCGTCTTCGCTTGTGTGTGCAGACGAGTAGTACACGTGCCACACGCGCCTGTGTGCGTACAAATTGTATACGAGTGCACGCGCGTACGTACGTGTTCTCACATGTTCTGCGTGTGTACGTACACACACAGAGACATGTGTGTGTACGTACACACACGTACACACACGTACAGCGGGTTAAAGCTACGAACCGCGGCGACTCGAGTTCAATTCGCGCTCACGGCCAACGCCAGTGACGACTGTCTGAACCGGTCCTGGGTGAACCTCCCCCTAGGTTCCATTCAGCCACAAATGGCTACCTGGCGCGATGTGAAATACATCGCCACTGGGGAGACAAAGGCGGACATCGATTCTGGCCACAATGCCCCTTCGTGTGCCGAGCCGACCTTCATAGGTGCTCGCTAACAACACTTGCCCCAACATTCTGGTAAAGCTATACAGGGGGGCGGGGGGGGATCTTGGTCTTTGTGTGCTAATATGTACGCGTGGAGCGTGTGTGGTCGCCTAAATCCTGGGGCTAAGTGTTCCCCGCGATAGACATGGGCACGTGATGTGTTTCTTAATTATCGCGTTTCAGCCACAGTCCTCCCTCTAAACATTCCTGCCACCGCGGCGCGCACGCACACACACACGGACACGCACGTACACACAAAGGCACAGACTCACACACACACACGTGTGTGGACACACGTGCATACGCACGCGTACACACACACGGTCATACGCATACACGTACGCACACACGTGCGCAAGCTCGTACGTAGTTACACGCATGCATGCACACGTGCGAACACATGCACGCGCATATACAATTATATTTGCACGAACACACATGCATACATGTACATTAGCATACCGATGTACGCGCACACACACACGAACACACATGCGTATATGCACATGCATGCACCCACATACACACACACATGTGCATGGACACGCACACATGTATATACGCACGCGTACAACACACACAGATGCACACGTGCATGCAAACACGTGTACACCCGTGCGTACACGTTACATCTTAACAATAACGTTGCTGAATGATTCAAGGGGAGAATAATAAAAAAAAACCCACGTAGAATTAAATTACAATGTTTAAACAAATAGACGCACACACATACAGGCGCGCCACTCAGGCTGTGTGCAACATTTGAAAAGGAGAGAGTCTAGGTAGGAAAAAATGCTGCTATGAGAGAAACACAAAAACAATGATCCCCCATCTAGCCTTAACAGACTGTTGGGGCAAGCGTTGTAAGCGAGCACCTATGAAGGCCGGCAGGGCACACGAGGGATTGGGTGGCCAGCACCACGCCCGGCCGCCTTTGTCTCCCCCAGCGGCGATGTTTTAGACACCGCGCGCCAGGTGCTCATTCGAGGCCGAGTTGACCTAGCTGAAGCCCAGGACCGGTTCGGGGATCGTCGTCGCTGGTGTCGGTGGCCGTGGGCAGGAATCGAACTCGATTCCCGCCTGGTTCGTAGCGCAGCGTAGCGCTAAACCGCTACACCACCGGCTACCCCCATCCCCCTCCCTTTATGCACGCATCACACTCACCCACGCACGCACACACACAGGCGCGCGCGAGTATAATCCGCCGGGTAATATATTCCGGGCTTGCATCGCATCAATGCCACTCGGCGTCGTGCAGACTGCGCGCCGCGCAGGTAAATGAGCGCGCTGCCTAGGGTGGGGGGTGGTGGTGGGTGGGGTAGGGGTGGGTGGGATGGGTGATTTGGAGAGGGATTTCTATATTGTTTAATATATATCCTGCTCATCGGCGTCTCGTTGATGGCGGTTGCCACCGTGTGCCTCTGGTATTAATTAGTATGACGCGCGGGCAGGCAAACGGGGGTAGAGGGCGGGGGGGGGGGCTTCGAATCCCCAGCCCCCCCCCCCCACCACCCCCGCCACAGACACCAACACCGTCCTCCTCGCGCTCCATCGGCTGCTCAGAGTGGCGCACGCTACAATGAAGATGAGCTCCGTGTACGGGTGGCGTTGCATATGCAAGAGCCTACGCGCGACGGGTCGGACACACGCAAGCGCACGCACACACGCACACACACAAGCACGCACACACGTACAACACACGTACACACACACACGGACACACGCCCCGTCCCGCCGCGCGCACATACACAGCGACACACGTGTACAGACGTGCATGTATGATACAGGCAGGCCGGCGGCACGTACGCGTACGCTCACGCGCACAGAGAGATGTGCCTGAGCGCGCACACATGTTCTCGCACGCGCATATGCACGCGGGTTACCGCACGGAGGCGAGAGAGACGGACGGGCAGGCACACGCAGACACACACAGAAACACGCAGACACACACAGACACACGCACGCGCGCGCACACCCGCGCGTATATTTGCATGCGAGGGTATCCGTAGAATGACACGCGCACGCGCAGGTAGACAAACACGTTCACTCACGCAGAGATACACACGGACAGACGCGTACACTCAGAGGTCCACAGGCATGCACAGACAGACGCGTACGCTCAAACAGAGGTACCTGTATATGCACCCCACACGCACACACGTGTAAGTACACACGTGTATACGTGTCTGTGTGTACACACGTGTACACTCACGTGTACACGTCCACCACGCTTGCGGGGTAAGCGAATTAATCAGAGAGAGAGTGAGCGAGAGTAGAAAAAAAATCCATTACCGTCACACAAAAAAACCCACATCGGGCATCAGAGCCGGCATCGGAGACGGCCGTGCGAGAGCCGCAGAGAAATCGAGAGAGCACGAGAGAGATAAGGAGAAAGACAGAGGGATGGCAGTCTGACCTCCTGCATGGGTGCGTGCGGGATGCGCAGGGCAGGAATCTTCGCGGGTGGTGGGTGGCTTGCTCGCTCTCTCTCCGCTCCCGCTTGCTCTCTCCCTCTCGTCTCTCTCTCTTTCTCCCTTGGGCGCGCGCTCTCTCTTTCTCGCTTGCGCTCTCCCTCTTCTCTCTCTCTCTCTCTCGTGTGCGTGCTCCTAGGGTCCCTCCTCAGCCGCCCTCTCCAGCGTCCGTGCGCTCCCTCGGCAGTGCGCCTCCCCGGTTCCCCGCAACAAAAACCCGCAGCGAGGATTAATCCACCACGGCCGGCGATCGCGAACGGAGGAGGGAGGAGGGCTCGGCGCACCGAGCGCAGCGCGTGGCTACGAATGCGACGATGATGCCGCCGCCGATGCTGATTATGGTGGTGGTGGTGATGATGAGATGAGATGGTGCCGGCACTGACGACGGTGACGACGACGATGAACGATGGAGCAGGTGTACAAAACAAACGTTTTTTTTGTTGTTGAAAAAATATATATGTTGCGAATATTAATCAATATAAGATAACGAAGGAAAGACCGTGATGGGCTACACGTTTCCCCCAACAATTAATGCGTTCTTGATGAGGCGCTAATGGAGACGTTTCGTGTTCGCGAGCGCGCCGCGCATTAGCAGGGATGCCAGTGCTCGCAGAGCCGGGCTCCCGGCGACCAATGAGCGGACGCCCTCTCCCAGTGACGCCAGCATGAACATCGTGGCCACCACCACCACCACAGCGAAGAGGCCTCCTCCTGCTCCTCCTGTTCTTCTTCCTCCTCCTGCTTTCTCTTCTTCTTCTTCTTCCCTCCCTCCCTCGCCCTCCCCACCGCTCCTGTCTTCTCCTACTGCTCTTGGTTCCGTCGCAGCGAAGCGAGACTCCGGCTGCAGCACGCGGCGGCACCACGAGCTCGCCTCGCCCGGCGCCCGCGCGGCGCAGTCTCCTCCTCCTCCTCTCCCACCCCCCCCCCCAACCCCACCACCCCCACCCCACCTCCCTCCAAATCAACCCCCTCCCCCATCGTCCTCCCCCCGCCCCCCCCCATCATAGTCCCCTAGCTTCCCCTTTCCTCTCCCCCTCTCCATCACCACCCCTTATCCACCACCCCCACCTCATCCACGACTCCAGACACCGAGGATCAGCCCGAGCATTTAAAAATTCATCGCAGCGTGTCCGTGTCTGTTGGCTTGTAGGTGCCGTGCTCTTTGTATATTTTTTGGGTAAGGGGGTGCGTGGGGGGGACAGGGAGGAGGGGAGGGTAGTGCTGTCCGCTCGCTTGCCCAATGCACGCTTGTGTAATTTTCTCGCGATGGGGTGTTTGGGATGGCTCCAACCCTTGCAGTCAGTCAGATGCCTGCCTGCCTGCCTGCCATAGGCGCGCTATGCTTGGTGCGTGCGCGCGCGCGCCGCGTGAGAAATGGTGATGCCGTGCCGCGTACGTTGTTTGTGGGGAAATTAATAGACCTGTCTTTACATTATTATTGCGGCTGTCAAAATCGGCGAGGTTTTTATTCAATATTCTTACCGCTTATCTTTTTTTTACTCTTGCGCTAAGAGCAACCACGCTAACAGCGGCCTGCAATCCACTTTTACGCAAACGTGCGACTGTACTCATCTAACCATCATCATCATTGCATCACCGTCGTCATCACCACCGCTATCATCATCGTCATCATCTGCATCGTCGCTACAATAATCATATCAGCAGCAGCAACACCGTCGCTCTAAATCGGCAACAAGCGAACGTCGTTATTGCGGACACCAAAGGCGAAGTTAACAAGAACATCGCTGGGCCGTCGGAGGGGCATCAACATCTCTCGTCGATCCGTTGGCTTGTGTTTTAGTTGATTTATATAGAAATACGAAATAAAATATATGCGTAGCGCGTGAGTATGTATTTTAAGCAAGACGGAATGGCTAAGCTGCGAGCGGACACGTGACACGACTAGCCTGTGGATTTCGTGTGAAACGGAACATTTCTTGAGTCGACGTGGCCCCCGAGGTGACAGCACCACACCAGGTGACAGCGACGAAATACGTTTGACATCCGAGCGGAAAATATTTTCTTGGGCCATGTAACAAACGCAACACTGGTCAATAATAATAATCGCCCTACGAGTGTGTATATATAGGCATTGTTTGGTCGGACAATGCACATTCTTCACAGCAGATATCGTACGACAGAAGGACCATCGCCCGAAACGTTAATTGTTTCCTGTGAAGGCAGCGCAATTGACACATTTTCTCGAGGGGGTGGGTATCTTTAGTTTGTTTTGTCATGTGTGCGTGTGCACCACTGCTAACGCAGAACCGCAGCGGAATGTTTAATTCTGGGCAAAATAGCTCCGTCGACGCTTCCACGCGATGCGCCGTCATACCAGGCCTGTGTGGCAATTTGCTAAAGTACGCTGCTGCTGTACGTTTAATTCATTATAATAATTTACAGCCTCTTGTCAATCCACTACTGGATGAAGACCTCTCCCCACGCCCTGTCGGTCACCGGGGGTTGTTGTGGTCATACTTCACCACGATGGTCACTCCGCGTTGGTGATGGGTAGGGGGGAGTTGGGGGGGGGGGGAAATGCAAGATCAGTTCAGACATCACTCGCCACTCAGGTTAGTCGTGTTCGGGATTTAAACTCAGGTGCGCCAAATTCGCATCGCAGCGCTGCTCCAAACCCACCACCAATAATTATAACGTGACCGCCGCTCCTCCCGTACGTGCACGCGCAGACACCCACGTAGCTCAGTGTCCAATGCGTCTCCATGGGATTGACGCTGTTAAACAATGCAGCCGTAATGTCGCGCCGGGCGTTGCGCGTAGTGGGTGAATGGCGCAGTTGGCACGAACCCCCCCCCCCCCCCGTGCGAACGACGCGACGCGCATGGGCGACAGTCATCGTGCAGTAGCCGCAGAGAAGGGCCGCGTTCGCGTTCAGCATCTCGCACGGAAGATAAAAGCGCGCATAGACCTGAAACTGACGCTCACTTCAATTGGGTGAACGCGATGCCGGAGAGGGCAGTGTCCAAAAAAGCTCGCGCCCGGGCTCTGAGCGGCCCCGGCTACGCGTGTGTGTGCGCGCGCGTGTGGGTGCGCGCGCGTACGCGTGTGTGTGTGTGTGTGCAGAGGGCGAATACTATAGTGGGGAGCGGTAGTGTAGCGGTTAGCGTGACGCTGCGCTACGAACCTGGTGACCCGAGTTCGTATCCCGCTCACGGCCGCCGACGCAAGTCACGTTCACACATCTGAACCGGTCCTAGGCCTCTGCTTGGTCGACTCGGCTTCAATTGAGTACCTGGTGCGATGCGTAAACATCGCCACTAGGGAGACAAAGGCGGCCGGGCGTGGTCTTGGCCAATATGACTTGTCGCTACAGTCTGTTCAGGCTATACAGGGAGGATCTTTCTCTTTTATAGGGAGACTAAATCGCTCCTTTGACAGAATTTGCACCGCTGTGTCGGGCAGAATTTTAAAAACCACTTCACGTTGCGTGACCGCTGTCACCAACTTCAGATATCAGCGTCCCTTCTCCGCATTCAAAAATGCCGCTGCGTATCGCATGAAAGCGATGATGCACCGCGACTTATGTTAAATGCCAAGTGGCGGTCACGCTCTGCAAGCTAATCAATTGCTAAAAATAAATAAAAGAAAATAATAATAATGACATGGTGGAGGAGGGTGGGTGGGTGGGAGTGGAGTTTGCCATAGGAACACGGTGTGAATACTACTGCGTTTGGTAGAGGGGGGGACTGGGGGTCGAGCGGTGGCGCAGTGGTTAGCGCAGCGCGCTATGGACCCACAGCGACATGAGTTGCAGTCCCGGCCACGGCGAACATCAGTGGCAAGTGAGATATCAGACACGGTCCTAGCCCTGTCCCACTCTCTGCCTTCACCACCTCGCACTGTCCAGTGCCTTTCCTCGCCACGCGAGATAATGTAACAACGCACTTGTGTATGATATTAATAATAATGATGCTTTACAGCCGCTTGCTATTCCAGCGCTGTCTGAATGCCTCCCCAAACCGTGTCGGTCGCCCGTGGTGTGTGATCGTGCACGCCGCACAGAACCGGGTTCAGATATCATCACTTCGCCACTGACGAGAAGCCGCGGTCGGGAGTCGAACTCTGGTCGCAGGGGGTCTCGCAAACGCAGTGCGCTAACCACTGCGCCACCGCTCAGTGAAAAGGAGAATTCACTTCAGACTCAA